ATCATAACAACTCTGAACCAATTAGGTCAGAAAGAACATACCTTAACATAAGATAAAGGTCATTGCTGGCAAGTCAACAGCTGATATACTGAAGAAGCAAAACTGCAGGCATAACTACTAAACTCTAAAAGAATACAAGGATGCATTGCTTTCACCACCTTTAAAACGCTAACACTGTAGTAAGTCTTAGAGAATTAGGCAACTGAAACAAAGAACACACAAGCTAGAAAAGGGAAAGTTAAACCATCACTGCTTACAGGCGTGTAGAAAAATCCCAAAGACTTCACCAAAAACTTTCAGCAGTATACAAACGTATTGCATAAAAAAAAAATCATTAGTTGCCCTGGTGCAGTAGCCTAGTGGCTAAAGTCCTTGCCTTGCACACACCAGAATCCCATATGGGTGCCAGTTCTAATCCTGGCAGCCTCACTTTCCATCCAGTTCCCTGCTTGTGGCCTGGGAAAGCAACTGAAGGCTGCCCAAAGTCTTGAGACCCTGCGCCCACCTGGGTGACTGGGAAGAGGCTCCTGGCTTTGGATCGGCTCAGCTCTGGCTGTTGGGGCCACTTGGGGAACGAACCGACAGATAGAAGATCTTCCTCTGTGTCTCTCCTCCTCCTCTCTACATCTGACTGTTTAATAAAAAATAAATCTTTAAAAAAAATCATTAGCATTATGATACACCAATAGCTAATCATCTGAAAAACTAATCAAGAAAGCAACCCTAGCCACTGTTGAATGGATAAAGAAAATGCAGCACCTCTCCCGCACCCCCACCCCCATGGGATATTATCCACTTGTAAAAAAAACAAAATGAGAAACCCGCCATTTGCAGTGATATGGACAGAACTGGATCGGAACACAGTAAATCAGGCAGAGAAGGACAAGTACCACATGATCTATCCTGTCCATCACACAGAAGAGGGTTTAATGGCATTCAGGAGTGAAGGAGGAAGGCGGGCAAGGGACAGGCATGTCAGACAGACTTCACATCAGCGACAAGCAGGGCTTCTGCAGCCTCTTGCTCAGCAGTGTTCAGGTGATGATAATACACTGCATATTTCTCTAAAAATATAAGAAAGGAGGTAAAAATTTCATCATAAATAAATGCTGAGTGTTTGGAGACAATTATTTTTAACCTGTTGGACATTACACAATTCGCACAGGTTAATACTTAAATATATACAATTTTTAAGTGCCTGTTAAATATCTTTTAGAAATTAATTCTTGTTCAAGAAGAAATTAATTCTATTCAAGAAGCCCTTACATAACATTTTCTGAAAATAAAACACAAACTTCCATTTGATAGAAAAATCTTAGAAGTGCCACAGGTAGTATAAGAAAATTAGGGAACAACATCCCCTATTTATACAGACTGAAAGGTACTAACGTAATTGAATTTCAAAGGGAAATGTGTAGGAATTCAACAAACTGAACTCAGCAGAACAGATGATCAACTATAGTCTGTCCGAGAAAGAGTTGATTTTACACTCAAAATCAATGTATCCATAATAGTAAAGAGGAAGTATTATGTGATTATCTCAAATCACAAAAAAACATCAATTACTAATTTCTGATTTAATTTAAAAAATGCAATGAGGGCCTGGCACGGTAGCATAGCAACTAAAGTCCTCGCCTCGCACATACTATAATCCCATTTTGGCACTGGTTCTAATCCCAGCAGCCCCACTTCCCATCCAGCTCCCTCCTTCCTGTGGCCTGGGAAAGCAGTCGAGGATGGTGCAAAGCCTTGGGACCTTGCGCCCAGGTAGAAGACACAGAAGAGTCTCCTGACTCCTGGCTTCAGATTGGCTCAGCTTCAGCCACTGTAGCCACTTGCAGAGTGATTCAACGGAGGAAAGATCTTCCCCTCTCTCTTCCTCTCTGTACGTCTCACTTTACAGTAAAAACTAAGTCTACAAAAATGCAATGAGAAATGGCACTGTGGCCTAGCGGCTCAGATTCTTGCCTTGCAGGTGCCAGGTTCTCATATAGGCACTGCACCCTGTCCAGATCCCTGCTTGTGGCTGGGAAAGCAGTCAAGGATGGCCCAAAGCCTTGGGACCCTGCGCCCAAGTGCAGACCTGGAAGAGCTCCTGGCTTTGGATTGGCACAGCTCCAACTGTTGTGGTCACTTGGGGAGTGAATCATCAGATGGAAGATCTTCTTCTCTGTCCCTCCTCCTCTATATATATATCTGAGTTTGCAATAAAAATAAATAAATCTTTTTTTAAAAAAATGCAATGAAATTTCCTAAGAGTGTTTAAGAAAAATTCACAGCTATGAATGAATGCTTTCTCCCTGAGAACAGGCAAAGCTGCATCAATCCTACAGCTTTTATGGTACTGGAGATGCAAACAGGCACAACGAAACAGTAACACAAATAAAAGGCATCCACACAGAAAGGAAGAAGTACAAGTGTCTCTGTTTACAGATAATATAATTAACCAGGGACAAAGAACATTTCAAAGTAACAAAAGCCACTATCACTTGTGATTTTAAGAAAATCTTAAGACACTAATCAACAGGTTTCTATATATCAATAAAATAACTGGAATAGGAAATTTTAAAAATCTATATATTTATGCTAGGATCAAAAGGGCAAGCTATCCAGAGACAATTTTCATTGAAAATGTGTAAACTAGGGTGAAATTAAAGATGAACTGAATTAATGTATTAGTAATAACTTTTAAAAAGTCTTCAAAAACAGAGTAATAGCCAACATTTCATGGTTCATAAGTACTACTGCTTATCCCCCCACAATAAGGAAGTAGAACAGGTGTCTTACAAATTCATTCTATGCAGCCAGTATTACTTTGACATCAAATTTAGGGAAGGAAACAACACAAAGGAAAGATGTAAGATCGCTGTAATCTTTTCAGTAAAATACGGCTACAATGCAATATCCTTGATAAGCACAGAGGCATTAGTGCAGACAATTACCAGATTCATCCATAGCTGAAATCAACATTCCTGCAGTTTCAGTTCTCCCTGAGCTTGCTTTATTAATGTATTGCCGAAGGGGGGAAAAAAACCATTTTGGGGGGAGGAATAAACATCCTGGGTCCTATATTTATAGAGGAACAATGCATCGTTTTTTCAAAAAACATGTTTTCTATGAATATTTGGAAAACCTCTCATATGGATGAATTTTAAGGTCATTTTGTATGAAGATAAACTTGTCTCTTAATCCTATTTCCATTGAACTTCTGGAATTGCCCTTTATAGATGACTCCCAGAGCTTAATAACAACACAAACATGCAATGCAAGTAAAAATGGATTATTTAAAGACACTTTCTATGAGAACACAAATGGCCAGTAAACATACAGAAAAGTGCTCAAAGTAAAGAGTGACTGGAGTTGCAGTGAGATACTAATATACAAACTGGAACGATGAAAAGTGGCAAGATTAATACCAATGCCGGGAATGAAAACTGCTCAAATGCTTACACACTCTGGGCAAGCATACTATCCTTTCAGAAGCATTTGTTAATTTTTTTTTCTAATTCCATGGAGACATGAAATATATCCACACGAGGACTTTTAGCAAAATGTGCATAACAACTGCATTCTGGTGGCCAAAACCAGGAGTGTCCTAGGTGTCCACTAGAACAAATACAGACATGTGGATCTTGATGTAGCACAGTACAGGGTAATTACTCAATGAAAACACAGATTATCAATACATTTACAGAAATAGATAAATCTCAAAAATGATTCTGCATGAAATAAGGCAAACACAAGAATGTATATTGCATGACTGCATGTGTATGGAATTCTGGAAGAGGCAAAACAGATTCCCAATGCTGGGAAGCAGAGGGTGTGATACCTGGTTGCTTTAAGAGGAAGCTAGTTGACCGGAAAAACAAAGGCCCTTTTACAGTGATAAAATCTACACACAGCACACACATGTACGCATTTGACACTCCTGTCAAAACGAAGCCATTTCTTGGCTCTAAACTTAAGTGTTAGAATTTTTATAGTCCTCTTAAACCTCCATACAGCAGGTGGATCTAATAGTTTAGAAACTTCAGATCCTGTCACCACACACTATGTATGTATCTTCAGTTTTACCTACGGGAACCATGAGTGAGCACTGGCAGCACACTCCTCTGAATGAAACAGCAAACCATATTACCATTTTACAGCAGAATAAATGTGAAAGATTCCTACCAGTACTAAGCAGAAGCATTTCTCTCTGGCTGAACTTACATGCTTACTGGTTGTATGGGATGACTGTGCCACTATGTCCTGCCTTGGCTGCCAAGAAGTTTGCAGCTAGGTTCAGTGCTCAGTGTAGTGATGAGCATCCTGGCTGCCTGCTACTCTGATTCTTCACAGGTGGAGCAGGTGAAGGGTGAGGGCTATTAAATTATCCTATTGCATACTTTAAACTGCCTCACATCTTTTGGGGGGAAAATTATGGTGTATAAACCATAAAAAAAAATGTTGGCCATTTTGAGGAAAAACATTTTTTCCTGCAAATAGAAATACATTGTATGTTTCTCCGTGTCACAGAAGGTTAGATTAGGAAGGAATTCACCCTTAGATGAGTCATTGAACAAGGTGAGTCACTACCCACCCAAAGGACTGAATGACGCAAAAAATACATCATTTTAGAATGCAATCATAGTGACAAGAAAACTTTCCACTTATACTTGATCATAAGGGTTAGTCTTGAAGAATTAATATAAAAGTATAGAATATGTTAAGACTCCCTAATGGGTCACTGATGGCATAAAAGAATTAAGTAGACTTCATCTCATTCTTCAGATAAAGAAATTCAACCTGCACATAAATGTGCTCACTGCTGTTCCCTTTCTATGACAACTGGGGTCAGATGCTTTGAATATACCACTGGACGGGGTATCTTCTGCCCCTTCTTTTTAACGAAAACCATACAACCTTGGCCCTGAGGAGAAAAATGAAATGTCTCCAGCCACAAAGGGCAAATTCTACTGTAAAATGAAGAGCGAAATAAATCCAACAGCCCCTTTCACCTGAGCTGTTTCATTGTCCACCGACACAACCGCCTTCTCTCTTTGTACTTGTCCTGAAGTCGTGCGGGACTCAACACTTCTCTCACTGTGGACTTTTTTTTCTACTAATCTAGCTGCCACCTGATTGACTTGCTTTGTTGCAGTCCTTTGTGAACTGACCTGTTGGAACAGAAAGAAAGTGACAATGGATAACGAAAACTTTTGACATTTTTAAAAATGCACTGGTGTCTTACATTTTTGAATATTATAAATTTGCCAACCTTTAAAAGAAGGAAAGAGGACAGCCACAGAGATATCATGGAAGAAATATTAGTTGGCAAGATCCAGAGCCTTTCTCATCAATGGGATAAGACCAATTAAAATTAGTGTCACTGGTATTCCCTCTTCAGAAATGATCTCTCCGGTTTAAAAAAAAAATGCCATTTCAGTAAGCAAGTTAACAGAAAACTGTCACACTTTAAAACTGCAAATGAATTCATTATTAACCTTTGCTGGTATTCTATCTGGAATGCCTTTGTAGTTTAGATTTTTATTAATTAAAATCTTAGTTTTCTATCATGTTAGTGAGTCTAATTAATGTGGAAGTATCAAAAGCTCTTATGTTGCCTGCGTTTTTGTACAGGTGGTTTAACCTTTGCACAGTGCATGCCACCTGACACTGTGTACCAGGACCAGAGGTTAAGCTCTACAACAAGCCTGCAGCCTCGAAGGTTTCTTTTTCACACCCTGGTGACATCTGGGAGATGACTGACTCTCAATAACCTTGAGGTAGACATAGAAAAAGAAGGGCAGGTCCCACAATACAGCTGGAAGATGGAAAGCTTCTGTTAAGCCCCTTACGAGAAGTATTTGTTCAGCAGCCTCATGTTTACAGCAGCTCAAAATGCCATCACCTTTTTTTTTTCCCCCATGGGTTAAATAGGGAGCAGAAGACAGGAACAGCACAAGTGGAAATAATGGAGTAGCCGTGCCAAAATCAAGAATGAATTACACTGGCTGGGCAAGCAGAGCCTTAATTTGTAGTCTCAATTTTTAGCTTCTATTGCCAAGCATGTTCATTCCTTCCCTTTAAAATATACTGGTGTTTTATGGCTAGGTCTAAGACAGTTGTCACAACACCATTCTTCATTGTCCTTCCTCCTGGATCCCGGCTTATCAAAGGATGACAACACCACTGCCTTCCAGTAAAACCTGCAAACAAGAGATGCTTCCTAATCATGCAGGGATTTGCTATTTCCATACTCAACCCTATTCAACTACTGGGAAAACTCATGTGTGAGCATCTTCTGGGCCACTCTCCTCTGAAGTAATCTCGGTAATAGACACACATTACACCCCTAGTGTAATGGTCTGCTAAGTGGTTACACACTCATATACCACTAAAACACTGGCTTACCAATCATTGTGAAAATGTGTTGTATGTACAAAGACACCATACTGGCATACGGGTACATATATTTTCTTGAGATAAAGCCAAATAAAAAATATGTGTGTGTGTATAACGTGTATGATGTGGTATTTTGACATATGCATTGTGAAGTCATCACCGCAATCAAGCTAATTAATTCAAGCCATCATCTCACAGAGTCAGTATTTCCTTGTGTGTCTGAACACTTAAGACCTAGTCAGCAGATTTCAACAACACAGTAAAGTATGAACTGTAATACTGATACAACAAATTAGATTCTTACTCATTTACCTTTAGGTTGAAAATTAATCACTTTGATCAACACCTCTCCATTTCCCTGCTCTTAGAAACTGCAATGCTACTTTATTTTGAGGTTCCACACAAGAAGGGACCACACAGATGCTGTCTTTCCATGCTGCACTTATTTCACTTAGGACAATGCCCTCTAGGTTCATCTGTATTTTTCACACATGGCAGGATTCCCTGCTTTTTTTATGGCTGAGTCCCACTCCATGGTGTGTGTGTGTACCGTATTTTCTTTATCCATTATTCTTCATTAGGTACTTGGTCATTTCCATATCATGGAATTCATTCATTCATAGCAGATTTTGAATAATGGCACAATGGCTGTGAGGACACGGGTATCTCTGTCACTTTGACATCCTGACTATGTCCTTCAGCTCTACACGCAGAAGTCGGACTGGCAGACCAGAAGGCAGAGGATTTTAGTCTCTGCTACGTACTAGACACTTGGGTGACAGTTCTGCCTTGGCAGCCTCTAATGTATTCTCAGGATTTAGTCAAATCCATTCAGGCCATTGAGGATTCTGGGAAGAAAGGTGGGCCTTGGCCAGCTTTCAGTAGGCTGGATGGTTAGGCTGCACTGTCCTGGACACTTCTAGCTCTTAAACAAAATGAGATCCAGTTATGGAAAATTTCTGTTTCTAGGAGGATTTTTAAAATAGTAAGAGTAAAATGGGACGATTACGTTTAATTCTTAGTTGTAAATGGGGAAGCTTTATTTTTTTTCAAAGACATAAAAGTAAACAGAAAACACTCCAGGCATTCCACATAATCAAACAGGATGATACTATTTGTATGTCATTTTCAAGAAAAGAAGCTATTCATATGAGGTAGCTGCTAGTTAATTTTTGATTAGAACACTGTTCTGTAAGATTGGTACTGCTTTTGCATCGCTAAAGATTAATAAAGCACAACCTTGTTCCTAATTGAGAAAACATTCTACTTTCCTCATTTAGAGAAAATATAAAGAAAAGCAAGGCCATGGAATGGAAAAATAAACTCCAGGAAAGAACTGTGTAAGTTGAGTTCTATAGCAAGACAACTATTACCAATAACACATTTATCCCTGGAGCTTCTGTAGAAATTCCACTTAAGAGCAAATGGGTGAGAGAAAGACCAAACTTTTCCTGTCCAAACAGGATTCTCTTGAACGTCTTATCACTGACCTACAGCTGGCTCTTTGTGCCTCTCTGTAAAGAGTTCAAGGATGGGCTGTGCCTTACGTGCCATACGAGCACACACTATTCCAATATAGATTCAGGCACTATAATGACCCGGTGAAAGGACCCACTGGCTCCTGAAGAAGTAGCAGCTTATGCAAGGGTTGAACTGGGGCTTTCTATCATAGTTCTTTCTGGCTGGTGTTTACATTTTCCTCTGGCAATTCCAGAGCTTCAGTACACCTCAGTGAGCACCATTGGGGAATCATGGTTTCCTTTGGCAATGTTGGACAGGAAGTCCCAGTGAGCAGCGGAAATGTGGTGGTCATAACGATAGAGTCTTCTAATGTGATCGACAGTTGTCACCTCAAGAGCTGCCAGTAAGAAACATACATTCTGTCATTTCATTGAGGTAAATATCCTCCGAAAGAGCTGCTCTTTGGGCGTGGAGGGTGGAGATATATATATATATTCTCTACTATCTTACAAAAACTGATTTCAATTGAACTCTGGTAAGAATACTTGAGGACATTAAAAGGAAGTCTCCATTTACTAGGAACAATTTATGGTGGCAAGTAAAATCTGGAATGGGAAAAATACTAGAGAGAGAGAGAGAGAGAGAGAGAGAGAGAGAGTGTGTGTGTGTGTGTAGGAAATGCTGTAAGTTTGCAGAGATCCTTACTGTGATGGGCTGCTTTCTTAACACCTAATTAGAACATTTGCTAAGAATATTAAGTTTCACTCAGTCTAAGGTTCACTTATACTGAGAAAAATATGTAGGATAATAAAATCTTTAGCTTTTTTTCCTTTGAAAATTGAAGACTAGAACTGTTACTTATAACTGTATACTTTTCTGGTCCAGTGTCGTAACGATCTTTGTCCATTGCCTATTTTGCATAAATTCAGACTTTGTTCACTAGTCTTAAATACTGGAAACTTTTGCATAGAGTGCAATAAATATTTTTACTTACTAATACGGGAATTCTTTCCTTTACTGAACAGAGAAATCTGGAGCCACGTGACTGACATTCACTCAGGACTTCAAATGATTTTTCCTACAGAAATAATCTACCATGAAAGCGATCCAATGCTTCCATCATTCAGGGAAACTCAGTATAGAATAGTTTATACTGTTACACGTTTCAAAGTTAGGTCTTTTATAGGACTGCACTGCACAAATTTGTAAACTTTAGAAATTATGATATTAAAACTAAACATGGTAGACTTATATTTTATACAATCACTATTAAAGTTGTATGCTTAAAATACTAAACAAAAAAAAATCATGTATTTAACAAACACTGATTTGTTGTAAAAATATCCCCAAGTCATCTTCCTATTTATACATCCAAGTTGACCACAGTGCGAACTGAAACTAATGTCTTAGGCATGCATATTACTTTTTCTCTCTTACTCATAATTAAAGTACTGTAGTGAAAGAAAACATTTTGGATAGAGGCCCATTAAACACGTTTTATGTTCCATCTCTTCATATAAAAATTATTTCTCAATGAACAACCTTTGAATCTGATAAAGCTGGAAATTCTGGTGGATAGTAATTTGGACTTTATAATAAAGGATAAAGCCATCAGGTTTTAAAACCATTTCTTTTATATTTCAATTAAGTTTATGAAACAGAAAAACCACCAAAAAACAGGAAAAGTCCACTTAAATTAGTGTAGATGAAGTGGTGACCATTATTGTAAAGGGAGTTCTATGTCAAGGAAATGGCTCTTTGTTTTGTTGCAAGACTGATAAAAACACAAAAGTCAATAGAACTGTTAAAATAAGTTTCAGTAATTACCAAGATCAAAATCCAGTGGCTTTTTATTAAACATGAACTTTTGTTCTGCCTTCTGCAATAGTAAATAGTGCTGACAATTGGTTTGTGAGGCACTTGCTACAATAAAATGTAATTGTATCATGAGAGAAAGGTGACAATCAGGAGATCATGAAAAAATTACATCTTCTCACTGGTAGTTAATTAGCCATGCAAAACCTCCTCAAACAGATATTCTCTTCTATTAGAAATGATTACTATGCAGGCCTACAGATGTCAATACCACAGTCATTCAAATACTTCTTTTCCTACTAATTGAAGGTTGTAAAGCTCTGGTGCCAAGGTTTTGCTTCCAAAGAGCTAATTTATGACTAGAAGGATATTTTATGTCTTCGGTTGCAGCAGCTACAAAATTCAGCAAATCAGAACCATCTGTGCACTGGTACTTGACTCACCATTCATCTCACAGCCTATCACTCACATTAGTTTGCATCCTGCATTCTTGGCTCACGAACACTTGTGATGATCCAAAGTTCAGAAGAAGTATTAAAAAGGAATGGCATCCTGACCCTACCTCGTTCAACAAGAATCAGGAATATAATGCCCACCACCCTTTGCTTTTACTGTTTGTATATTTGTAATGTCAACAAGAAATGGACACTTCGCTGCCTGCCCAATAATGGCGCTAACAGCTGCCATGGTTGAAGGTCTTTGGTAGCTTTTAGTTTTAATTTTTTTCTTTCCCTTTAAATCGGTTTCAGGAAGTTTAAACAATTTTTTAAATCACTATACCTGTAAATAGAAACAACATCATATAGATATAATTTGGCATCACCTGGTAGGCAGAACCAGACCAGAAAGCAACAACCAAGAAAGACCTGAAGAAAAGGAGCCTTCGACCCTACCCTAGTCACAGACAGCTCCAACATCCGGGCTGCCGTATTCCTTCAACAGTGCACAGCAGGTCACAGACTTAACACTTTTTTTTCCAGGAGAAAATAGGTCAAAAGAACTTTTCAATAAACAGTTATGGTGGTAAATTAGGGGGAACAGGAATTCAGACACCGAGCTGTCACACTCATACTGAAACCTAAAGCACTGTTAAGTGGTGGAAAGGTTTCATGGAAAGCCACTCTCACGTCCTCCCGGGGGTGCTGGTACTTACTTTCTGTTCCTTTGGAGCCGGTGCACAGACACTTCGATCCACAGAAGGAAACTCCAGTAGTCCCAAAGGTATGCCGCCTGGGTTCAGGGTCTTCTTGAGCATCTGATAGTCTGGCTTTTCATTGTATGCTAAACTATGAACACAGACCAAAAACTGGGCTATTTCACCTGTGAAGTATTAAATTGTTTACATGTCACTCATCATTGGGAAAAAAAAACTGTCAAGACTGCAATAACCTAAAAATCTAATCTCAACTGCACACATACGTTGTGCAGACATTAGGAAGGAACAACTCAATGTAAAGCCTTTTAAAATAGTATTTTTAAATGACCCAAATACAGTGATCTAAATATTTGACAATATAGGGCAAAACTGAGAGTATTTAGCAGAGCTTTGTTGATATTTACAACTCATAAATTTTAATTTCCATGAATTTTAATTCAGCCAGTTTTACTAATCACAGTTTGTAATTCTGACTTAGGAGGTGAAATAGGGCCTATATTAATAGAAAATAGACCAGACATGTTTCATGTTTTTTTCTACAGTGAAATTTTTAAAAATTCCATTAAAAACGTGTTATTCATTATCTACCTTCTTACTTCAAAAGAGAAAACACATGGCAAATTTTAATTAAGGCTTCTTATTTGGGATACCAATGCACTCAGAAGTGACCTTGAACTCTGTATTGTTAACTATTATTGTCTTTAGAACGCACAAAACCTCCATTAAGTCCTTCCTACCTAGCTAACCCAGCACTTGCACAGTACAGTTCTGACTCTGCATAGGATGAGAAGTTGTCATCTACTATTTCTTCTCTAATGTAAACATATATACACACACAGCCAGATAGTGTGTATATATATGTACATATACACTATTATAAATATGCGTATTATACATGTAATATTAATCCAGTATGTAATGTCAATCATGTAATATTAAATATGTGTACTTATGTGATAATTTTGTGGTTATATAATTATACATATGTATTTTAACATATAAATATACTATATATAATATAGAATAGCATAGTAACAGCATCTTCCTCAAAAAAATCATTATAATCTGCTGAGTGTTTTAAAAAGAAGCAGAAGCAGTATACTAAAACTAAAATCATAACTATGTTAAAAAACTTGTAATTTGGGTAGTGACTTAGCGCAGTGCCTGAGATGCCAGATTACAATGTCTGCACTCTGCATCAGAAAGAGTACCTGGGTCAATCAATTGCTTTAGCTCCTAATTTCGTTTTTTCTCTTAAAGATCCATTTATGTTTATTGCAAATTCATATATATATATGATATATAAAAATGATATATATATATGAGGAGGGACAGAGGAAGATCATCCATTTGATGATTCACTCCCCAAGTGGCCGCAACAGCAGGTGCTGTGCCGATCTGAAGCCAGGAGCCAGGAGCTTTTCCAGGTCTCCCACATGGGTGCAGGGTCCCAAGGCTCTGGGCGTCCTGACTGCTTTTCCAGTCCACAAGCAGGGAGCTGGATGGGAGGCAGGGCCACCGGGACCAGAACCGGCACCCACATGGGATCCCGGTGTGTTCAAGGCGAGGACCTCAGCAGCTAGGCCGCGGCACCGTGCCCAGCTCCTAACTTTAGCATCGTGGGAATGTAGACCCTGGGAAGTGTCAGTGATGGCACAACTGAGTTCTCACCACCCACACGGGAGACTTGGATCGAGCTCCCAGCTCTGGGAGTCAGCCCAGGCCAACACGGCTGCAGGCTTTTGGAAAGTAAACTGGCAGAGAGGAATGCCATTATGACAGAAGTAGTGACATTATGATATTATTTAAAAACCGGTATGTCCTCATTTGTTCACTGAAATGCTTAGATATACCTTTTTTTCTCAAAAGCATACTACTGAACAAACGTAAGTGCTTCTTTCTTCATTCGGTTGTTTATATCCTATGGCAGAAATGTCTGGAAAGCTTCCTGGGTTGGCAGGAGTAACTTGCTAATGATCCTTCATTTCCCCGCCAGGTTCACCTCTTTTCTCGTGGAGAGCTGCTGAGGGAACGGGCTTCAAGCCCTAGGGAAAATTTCCAACAGGTGCCATCATCCCTATCTGCCTACTCAAGTCAGAGTGACCATTTCATACCATAGAGTACAGAGGTATTTTCTAGAAACATGAATCCAGTGGAGGTTTTTTCTTTTTGACACTGTAGCAATTATGCAACCTGCTTTTTCCTCTCCAATCGAAGCACTATATCAGATTTGGTTATCTAGTTCTGTGTCTGCCAGATCTCTGCTAACTAGTAAGCATTCCACTTTATCACCATATTTATAATGTATGCTTCCTAGAGCCCCCCGGGATAGGGGACATCCAACTCCCATGAGGTTGATAAGAAAGGAAAGAAGAGGATATTACATTCACTACAATTCTAACATAAGTACTCCCCTAATCTTTGATGAACCATAAGCAAAGTTTTTCTTATGTTGCAATTTCAATAACCAGAATTTTCCAAAATGGAGAAGGGCTGAATGTATTGGAACTGAATCACAGCCACAAGACAGTGGGAAGCTCCTGACACTACATCCACAGATAGCAGCTGTGCCGTGGAGCCTTCTTGGAACTGGAGTTTGGGAAAATGAAGTACCAGTGAGGTACAAATGGGAAAGAAAAATGAAAAGAGCTATCTCCATTGTAAACTTGCTACTTTGAATTTGAAACTTAGACTATTCTGATGTAGTGCTGGTGTAACTGTTAGCCGCTCAAGACCTAGACTTATTATATTCACTACCTTGTTTAAAAATTACTAGTCTATTTCCAGAGCCAGCAAACAAAAATGCTTTGAGTATGAAAGTATGATATTCTGCTTTTTAAGCTAGTGAAATATTAAGTAATATTACTATCATTTCCAAAGAAAGAAGTCGTTGAAGCTATTACTGCTGTTACACTGAGTTGGACATGCATGTGGCTAACCTCTTGAATGTTTTTATTTCATAAAATATCTCAGTAATAGAACTTTTTGCAAATGTTAATTTTCAACCTCCTAACTTCAAAGAGCTTCATCCAACAGTAAAAGTTCAACATTTTATGCTTTAGAAACAGATCTGCATTTTATGGTTTAGATGGTTTGTACCAAGAGAAACCAAAAGTGCTTCCTGTGTAAGCTTCTTGCGTGATGCAATGCTTATCTGTAATAGAAGCATCCCAGGTCATACATGGGTCACAAGCACCTATCTTTTCCAATCCATGGCATCTGGGTTCTTTTTCAATCCTATGCTGAATTTTTTGTGCAGAAGAGACAAGCTAGCTAAGAGAGAGAGACATAATTAAAAATATAAATGGCATTTCCCACCTCTCTTTTGTCCCACTGAACAAACCACATGCCAAGAGAAATGACACAAAATTAGTCAAAATTTATACTGAAATTGTGATTCAGTTACTGTCATTCAAAACCCAAACCTTCATTTTTTCGATCTCCTAAGATGAGACTCTTTCCTGTTTGGTCCCTTTCATTAGAAGCAAAGTACTGCAGAAAGAGGATTAATTCAGACGGGCTCAGAGTTTGGTTCTTAAGTACACCAAGGAGTGGGACCAGAATAGTTTGTTGTTCCTTCCTATGTAAATCAAACATTTGGCTTTCTCAGCCAAAAAAGGGACCATGGACATACATGGGCTTGGATGATGTGCCTTTTCCACTCTGACATGGAACCTGATGCATTTGAGCTTAACCATGGGGTAAGTGGATCTATTTGCTGAAATTAGCTAAGATCTAGCCTTGAGACTGTCCAGTGTAAACATAGAACAAGAGTCAGTGTGTTAATCCGTCTGAGTGAAAGTAAGTAGGAGAACAGAACTTGCCAGCTCTTTTCTACAAGACAGTCAAATTCATTTGTTAGGTTAGCAGTAAACAATGTGTCTTGCCTGTATGCAAACATGACAGGAACTTGGGCAAGTCCAAGTTGACTATTTTATTGATAATACTGTCAATCAACAAACTCCAAAAGGTTCTATATTAAGTTGAGAGAGAGAAACAATTTATGACATATAAAGTTGCATGATTTTACCACTTAATTTTTGTTGTTGTTGTTGTCGGCTATCCAATCACAGTGTAACTCAGGTCACCAAAAGCATCCTAGTGTTTAATGTTTTGAAATTCGTTGTTTAAAATATTCTTTCCTCAAGTCAACTACACAGGAGAACAAAACCTAAGAAATCTTAACTCCAGAAATACTGGATAACTTGTACATGATTGTTGTCAAAATATATTTCACTTACAAAACGAAACAAAACAATGCCACTGCTGAAGCCTAGAACTCTGCCTGTGTAATTTCTTACAGGATTCCTGGATTCTGAGATCAAAGTGATAGAAACATTTTCATATCTAACAACCTATCTGTAACCCTGCATAGTCTGTGCCCATTCTGGCGTGGACAGGCGTGAACGATGTAGGCAGAAGCTGCAAGAGGGACAGATGTAGTGCCCTATAAACCATACAGGGAGATGTATTATCTGACTCACGGCAACTGCTTCCAGAAGGAGCCCATCTGAGCACGGAATCGGGGAGTTCGTCCAGCAGACTACAACAAAGCACAGTGAGACATAACGAATTTGTTTTCAATCTGGGATTCACTGTTTCAGCTAGAAAGTAGAGCACTAACTCCATGTTGGTAGTTTACCAAAACTGATTTCCCGTGCTTCTTTTCACCTAAAGGAGGAGAGGGCAGAGAGAAGTGAGGAAGACCCCTCAATTTGCACTGACCCAATTAATCTGAGTCACCCAGAAACTAAAGAGTGTAGAGTCCTAACACAAATGACTTACCTTTTCTACATGGACACATTCAGAAGTAGGATTACTTACTTTTTCTTTAAAAAAAAAAAAAGAGAGAAATTCATACAAAAATTTTATCTAGATTTTTAGGATGCTTTCCTTCGGGTAATTAGCACTGGACAATAATAATGTATTTTGCTCTTCCTCAGTGTTTTATGATACTCCATGATGAAAAAGGTTGAAATATCAATAGCATCAGAAAACCCTGTGGTCAACACTTTCCAGCATGTTCAGCAGAACAAGTATAAGTTAAGCTACTTTGTCAGTAAGGATGAGAACGTAACAATTCAACTAAAATTACTGTTGCGGGTGAGTCACAACACAGGTATCGACTAAAAACAGGGAATGTGATAATCTACCAGCAAAACAGAGGACATAAGGGAACTACAGTGTTACAGACGGATGCGTAATTATGCTCTAATGGGGAAATTCAGTGTTACACATTTTAAACAAGTTGAATAACTAATACATTGTGATACTACGTAATATAGGAAAGGTCACTATATAGGATTGTGCATAAATATATTTATATTGTGGATAGTTACCATGAGTGCATACAAGTATTGATACAAGACTAAAATTAGTGTTAGAGAAAAAAATAAAAGGTATCCTTTTAAATAAAGTTCATTATTCAAATTAGGTAAGCCGAGATAGAAACTTAAATGGCAAAACTAATTCTATACACTCATTATTACGCTTTGACTTGATCCACACTTTGAAAAACTACTAAATGAGTGTTAATAAGGCCTCTATCAGCTACTGCAGCAATCGCACAGTTCCGATCCTGGGCTTCTATAAGTGTATGTGTTCATAGTAACTAAGATGATCAAGACTCCACCTGGAGAAATGCTTCCTATACCGGTATTTATCGATGCAACCTGTATTATTTTGAATCTTCCAGGTAAACTTGATTAATAACTGATGTCACACTCACTACAAAGCTCACTCTGCTTTTCCTCCTCTGCTGTGACTTTTCCTACCTAAAACTCAGTGACCTTTTCCACCTATGGCATTACTTCTGTGGCTGTACTGACATATAACAAAACCAGCTATTCGGTGTGATGTGCAATTTGACTTTCCTTAGGTGAGACCTGGAAATCAAGCAAAATATTCCACTTTCTCTCTGAGCCAACTCTAATGCTAACAGAATCCGGGGGGGGGGGGGGAAGTGAAGCATGAGGGGTGGGGGGCATTTGGTGAAGTAATGAAGACTCCTGTTGGCTTGCTTTTATCCCATAGTGTAGGACCCAGGTTCCAGCCCTAGCTCTGCTTTGACTACTAGCTTCCTGCTGCTGTGTACCCTGGACCACTTGGACCACTGCCACCCGGCAAGATGCAGGAGGAATGCTGGGCCTCTGGCTTCCATGGGGCCTAGCTGTGGCTGTGTGAGCTTTTAGGGAATGAACCAACAGATGGAAGATGTCTGTCTCCCTGCCTTTCATATGAATATTAATAAAAACGAAAGAAATTGAATGTAAAGTATTAAAAATAATTGCGGCTGCAGGTTCATTTTATATAAACTCATAAAACTGTTATTTTCCTTTAAGAAATAAAGCAGACTTGTTCCTCTTACTTGAAAATAAAAGCCACTGTCCATTTGATACAATTGCCTCACAGTTATCAATCACCCCAACTGCAAAGTACTTCCATAAGTCTATACATTATATTCCATATAATTAAACATTATATTACATATAATTATTCATTATATTACATATAATGCTAATTTAAGAATATTCTTCCTTGAAAACACTAGCACCAAGATTCTATGTTTTGGAAAGCACCATGGGAAGGAATACCTCATTTCAGTGCATGTTTACCTAAATGGGTTTTATTTCTGCTCATTGTTTGGAGTTTTAAAAAAAAAATTTTTTTTTGAAGTTAAATTTGTTTTGGTTCTTGTTAGGCAAATGAAAATCTTCTCTGGGATATGAGCTCCCCATAACGTAAGCCCCTTCAGGCTTGCTGCTGTAAACAGATTTGAAAATACATACTTTGTTTTAGCAGTCTGGACAGCCACAGGATCCTTCAGGTTCTGTTCCCAGGGAAGTTTCCCACATAGCCACCGCAGCATGCAGTAGCCAAGGATCTCAACGTCACTTCGTCTGGACAGGGCTACAGGGGTGAGCATTAAAAGAGAAAGATGAGGGATAAGCAACTTCTTGAGAAATAGAGAAATCTTTGAGCAAGCCACTACTGATGAAATATGAAAGTCAAATGGGCAAAGTGTTTTGTTTGTTCAGCTGGAGGAAAACTTAAACGGCCAGGCGCTTGGCCCAGGTCCACAGACAGGCAGTGACTTGTTGCTGTTGAAAGTGAGGGTCAGTTTCCTCACCTCCGCCAACTTCATCTTTCCTTAGTCTGGCCTGTCACATGAACTTGATCCCCATGGCCTCTGACATGATCCAGACAACCCATAACCCAGCACCAACACTTTCTCAAAGAGCCAAGCAGTAAAACAAAGAAATAAATGTCTGCAGCTAAATTGCTAACATATGTTGCAGGAAGTCCATGGGGTCTGCGTTGGTCATGCAGGGACCCTCTGAGTGCAGACTAAACACTGATGGCCTTTCCTGCTCCTCTCACACGAGCAGCACCGGAGCTTGCAAGAATATGACAAAACTGCCATCTAGTGTGCAGTATTGAAAGCAGGGTTGTCTCGAGATTTTTCAGTGATACCAGAGTATGACAGAGTATGCCTGCCGCTTTGGATGCAGTTTTAGATTTGTGCAAGCATTATTTTTAGATGTAGCAGCATAAGCAAAAATTCTCGTCTCAAATCCAGAACAGAAAATATGAAAGGGAGGCAGTGGTACAGGGGGTGGAAAGAGAAGGGCCATGGAGATTTTAAAGCCAAATAGACGCTTTCAAACATTAACAGTTGATGCCTTTTCATTAAAAACAACAACAACCAAAGCAGCATTTTCATGCCCCTATATCATTTACATCTAACTAGTAAATGCTGCAAGCTAATTTGATCATTGTTATGTATTTGTTAATTGCCTTAACTCACAAGATGAACAACGAAACACAAGAAACATGTCAAATATTACTGACATTTATTAACAAATCACTGAAATAACAATTAAAACATTAGCAGGTGCCCATAAACCCATTTTTATGGTGCTTTCAGGTTGTTATAAAACAATAGGCTGCTTTTTACATTTTCTACCAATACTTGAGCACTCATCTGTGTGGGGATGCAGAATCCCCAAAGAGCAGTATGTGGCTGTTAAACCTGCTGTAAACAGGCATTCAGTTTTACTATTTTTTCATTAAATAAACTCTGAAAAGTCACTCAGCTAACTTAGTTTTTAATTTAAAAAGTCATCGACTAAAAACAATGCTGCCAGCACATCACAGTTGCTTTGGTTGCAATGCATGAGTTATTATAAAAGCAGAAGACAAGATTAGCTGTTCCATATACTCTATCTTAACTGCTTATTAGAGTATTGGATTATTAAAGGCCCTCCAATCTAGGAGAATACCTCAGTCCCATGGGTGCCATTTACTTTTTGCATAAGCTTCAACAATGTCCTAATGCAAGACTTGGCTCTCATATTAAAATAAAAACAATCTCCACCATGCTGTTCTGTAGTGATTTCTTCAGCAATAAATCTCCCATTAATAATGGAATGGTTCCATTTGTACACGTGTTCACAAGTCCCTTTTCCATTATGGCAATTCCTGATGACTACCACTAAAAAAATTTCACATCCTCTAATTTAAAAAAAAAAATGATATTCTGGCACCTGTTTGGATGTTGACACACAAAAGGCCCTTTGAGGAAAAACAATCAGAATTCAAATGGAATGAATTTACCAGCCACGTCCCGCCTCTCCCCAACTAGGGATTAACTGATATGAAGCTGGAAGTAATGACAAGTCATTTATATTTCTGCAGCCAATCTTTCATAAACTGGTCCTCATTTGAAACAGCCCCTTGAGAGTTAACTTTCCCTTACCATTAGAGTTCAGTTTTACCTAATTAAAACACATTATAGTATTTTACAAAAATTTTTTTGCTTTCAAGGCACATATGCATTAATAATTATGGCTAAGTGGACGTTTACCAGTTTTTTCAGTAAGTTCTACAGAAATATATGCAATGTTAAACACACATGCATGGACATTGTTCTTTCCCACCATTGAAGAAGGGGAGGTGGGAAGGCAGAAATGTTTTTCTGACTACAGTGCTTATCTAAAATTTCCTTCTAGAGGATTCAGGGAAATAAGGATGTCTATTTTCCTTCTATGGTAGACAATACAGAACACTTATTATCTGTCCAAAGAATTTAAAAACTTATAGATGACAGTAATACAATCTCAACATGTAAAACTTGTAAAAAATTGACCACAGTTGAAGAGGATTACATAATTATAAATAAACTTAAAAGTTGGTTCTTTCAGGCCCGGCGCAGTGGCGCAAGTGGTTAAGTCCTCGCCTTGCACGCCCAGGATCCCATATGGGCGCTGGTTCTAATCCCGGCAGCCCTGCTTCCCTTCCAGCTCCCTGCCTGTGGCCTGGGAAAGCAGTCGAGGATGGCCCAAAGCTTTGGGACCCTGCACCCACGTGGGAGACCCGGAAGAGGCTCCTGGCTTCGGATCGGCATAGCATCGGCCGTTGCGCTCACTTGGGGAGTGAATCATCGGACAGAAGATCTTCCTCTCTGTCTCTCCTCTCTGTATATCTGCCTTTCCAATAAAAAAAAATAATAAAAATAAATCTTTAAAAAAAAAGTTGGTTCTTTCATTATGCAATCTTCACACTTACTTTGAAGCATGTTAGGTGAGGCAGTAAACGGAAAACACTCAAATAGGGATTCAGTTCCAATTTAGCTCTAAAATTCAATGATTCTGGGTATCATTTTTTTCTAAAAAAATGTTTTCAACAATTTGGATAGAAAATAAATTGTTTTGTCTGGGTCACAAATTATTTTGATATCATAAATTCCTCAGCAACATTCAATAATTCCATCAGCCATGCACTTTCACATTATTTCCAGAAGAAATCAAATTTTTACTTCCAATACTTTGGAAATCTACAGTGATTTAATTAAGATGTTTTCCTCTGAACTTTCTCTTTGTTTACAAATATTATTTAGCATCTAAGAATTCAGCTTACTCGTAGGAAACAAATTATTCTGTTGAAAGTCTGTATTCTCAATAGTTCAATTTGCAGAGATAAAATATTGTTAAGAGTAACAACAATTTAAAAAGAAGCACAGGTGGGGACTTATATTTTGTTTCACTAGAAAGCATATCTAGAAACAGCTGACAGCAGAATAATTTTGAAAAAACGGCAAAAGCGATTTACTGAAAGGTGCTATTTATCAAGCATGCAACATTCCTTATATTATCTCATTTAACCATTCAAATAGTATAAGGTAAATACTAAAAATTCATAGAAAATGGAATTAAATGACCACCCTGAACACGCCTGATCTCACGGTGAAATACCTGGTTCTATATTCAGCCTCAGCACACAACTCCAGACTTGCTGGTTATTTGGTCCCTGAGGGGCTACAGATGAAAGCTCAAGTCACTGGGCTCCCGTCACTCATGAGAGAGACTCCCACTAGGTTTCCAATTCCTGGCTGTGGCCCTAGTTCATCTCTCACCTCTCTAGGCATTTGGGGGGGATTCAATCAGCAGATGCAAGTTCTCCCTCTCCTTCTGTTTGTCTTTCTACCCTTCACATAAAAATGAAAAAAAAAAAAATGTCGGGGGGTTGGGAGTTTGTGGGGGGAATCCCAGTCTACATGAAATTGTACCACAAAAATTCAAATATTCAAAATAAAACAAAAAAAAAAAAGTCAACTGTGACAAATTCACCAAAGTGAAAGAGGAATTAGCAGGAAAGAAAAGTCCTAACAATTTATTCAAAAATGGGCCTGATTACTTAGCTAAAGTGATCTGTTCACTGAAAGTGTTTTCCACTGAATCTATTATTTACCTACTGTAGTGACATTGAGGAGTATGAAGAAAAACAGGACTAGTAGAAAGTAAAGTGAACTTGAAGACGTATGGCTCAAGTAACAAACTTTAAAATACCCAAAACATACATGTCACCATATATACTCAAAAAAGACAACCAGCAGAAAATATCTAAGATATCCACCTGATAAATCAATATCGAGTGCAAACAAATTTGAAGTTTATTTTTAGTTTTCCAATTGATAGCCTGTTATTCAGCATTCTGTGAATTTGGATGTGTAAAGTACTGGGAAATATTGTGGTGATCATTATTTGCCACAATTTCCATGAGGATATTAAAAAAACAGAAGGTGATGAGTCACATTGCAAATAAAGCATCAAACTTAGGTATTCCTTGCTTTTTTCAGGGTCTTTTAAATGCTACATCGTAAGCTTTAACTTGTTTCTGCTGCTGTTTTTGAAATACCATTCTGTGAATCTTAGGAAAAGTTGCTCAACTGAGCAGAGATATAGAAATATATTGGCCAATGGATATATGTACATATCTGTACAACATACACATCGAAATTTAGATATAAATACATAAGTACAAATAAATTTATATGTATATAAATTATGTGTGTGTATATATGTGTATGTATGTATATATACACATACACACATTTTTGTTTACTTGAAAAGGAGAGAGACAAACTGCGCACAAACTGCCACAACAAGGGCCGGGCAGGCTAAATTCAGGAGCTGGGAACCCAGCACAGCTCTTCCATCAGGGAGACAGCAACCTAAGTACTTGGACTACCATCTGCCGTCTCCAGGATTCACATCAGCAGAAAGCTGGGATTAGGAATAGAGTTAGGTATTCAAGTCAGATATTTCTTCATGGCATGCAGGCAGCCTAAGTGGTATGTTAACTGCTCTGCCAAAACACCTGCTCCTACAACCGGGCAATGTATACTTTTAAAAAAAAGATAGTTCAACACAAAAGTCAAGATACGCATCAAAGTTTTAAGCCAATCCTAAAAGTACACAGTAAGCAACAGGCACTGTGGCACAGTGGGTTAAGCTGTCACCTACAATTCCTACATGCCATATTGGAATGCTGGGGGATACAGTCCCACCTCTGCCTCTGCTTTCATGCCAGCTTCCTGCAATTGTGCCGAGAGGCAGTAGATGATGTTTCAAGTACACAGTCCCAACATCAACATGGGAGATCTGCATAGAGCTCCTAGCTTATCAGCAGCCCAGCCCTGACTGTTGTGGAAACCTAGGAAGTGTACAAGCAGATGGAAGATCTCTTTGTATCACTGTTTCTCTGGTGTTCTGCCTAAAGCCAAAGGAAAAAAAAAATCTCAGATGCAAAGAATAATCCTGATTATCATTTATGTATTAACAAAGAACTGTTTAGGCATCAATTTACCTAAAAGAAAGTCAGAGTATATTGTTGTAACTATTAACAGTTCCAACAGAACATATTAATAATTTGGTGATTTCCTATAATATCTTACAATAGAGGAAAATGGGCTCCTTTCTCTAAAATATTGTTTGAGAAGATAAGTATTGTGTAAACCATGTCACTTCCCAAGCTTGGTAACATGAAAATGTATTCTCAGTTTATTTCACATATATTTTGAAAGTTGGAATGCTAAAGTGAAATGAAACCATGCAGGAAGAAACATAAGACTTGGATTTTTTTATACTCTAGAAATTGGCAATTTAAAAAAGGATGCACTGTATTTCTTTCCTTGATACTGAATATATTACATAAACAAGTAGATATTTAAAATGCAATTTAGGTATCATATTTCATGGCCATCACAGATGTCAAATTAAAACAGGTATTATACACTCAATGCACAGGTCTGAAGTATTTAAAAAAGCTCAAAATGTTAAGTGCAGTATATCTCTAGAGAAATTAGGTATTGACTGCATGCCTCAGTGAGTAGAAAATCTACAAAAATCTATATCACACATTGATCCAAATATTGCTTTTTAACATTACTAAGAAAGTAACAAATTTTAAAACCGCATATTTGACGCGGATATAATTCTCTTTAATTATCAGGCAATAAGAACAAAATGTCAATGTTTATACACGCAAGTTTTTATGAAGAATAAGAAAACAGAAATAAGCCCAACACATATTATTCTGTTATAATAAATGAAGCATTTCAGTATCTCACAAAATAGTCTGAGATCACACAAAGAACTGAGTTCAGAGGAATAACTGATTTTTAAAAACAAGAAGATGTCTCGTTTCCAGCAGTTGTCATATATCCATTCCCTCGTCTTTCCGTCCAAGCCTAGCACAGATTTCGGTTTGTAAGACAAATTAATAGCTAATTTTTTTCTTCTTTTCCATAAATTTGAATTAGAAAATGCTTACATGAAACAGATGATTGGCACTTCATATAAGCTTCTTCATTATAGAAATTGATGAGTCCACATAAAAAAAATGAGACTATGCTTTAGTTTTCCAAATAAGCATGACAAAAAGCAGAGGCCACGTGGTCCAATCAGGCTGTCAGTGTTACATTAAACCTGAATATGTCCCTGGGGCTGACCAGACATGGATATAAGCTTTCTTTGGAAAATTTGTAAAAAATGTAATAAAAAGTATGAGTTTATTTTGGTGTAAAAAAAGTTTCTGCAAGTTATGCAGCATTTTTCCCATATTATAAAATTTGCAATGTATTTTAACAACTTTTTTTTTTGCACCAAAAAGATTTTGCAACACATAAATTCAGCATTTAATTCCATCTGTCCACAAATTCTGAAGTACCTTTGTATATGTGACAGCAAATATTTTGATAACTTTTTGTTCGTTATGCTTTTACATTATTGTTTTCATTATTTGATAACATAACTGCTATTTGTACTGAAAGTAAAGGGGATGCATCCTTATGAATCTGAACTTCCACATCATCCATAGGTTTCATAGCCTTTTTTGTTATGGTTTCTAGATATGACTAAATGATTATTTCTAATAAATATCTAAGGATATTTTACTTTGGAAAATTAAAAGCAAAACATTCGAAATTAACAGTATTCAAACATTTGAGGCCATCAAGCTTTTCCTCTATTCAGCAAACTAAAGTCAAACACTAAATTTTCAAAAAGTATATGCGTGTACATTCATTATGTATATATGCACATACATACCCATGCCCATAGTTATAGAATTGTCTAGAAATCTGATTAAATTCTATGGTATGGGAATCTACCCTGGAGGAATCCTGTGACTTTATGATAAACGCATATTCATTCTAGTGTAGAGCCTTCCAGCAAATATAAGACAATATTTAATGCAGGCCTTCAAATACTACCAGTTTTCACTGGTCAGTCTTCAGCCTTTTCTTCAAAGCCCTAATGGGACAAACTCTACAGAATTTACCAATCGGTATTGTGAATTAAGAGAAAAGCCTTTAATTGAAATAAGATAAATTCATTCAAATCTTTAATAAAGATGGTCTAATTAAAACACTACTTGTAATTACAGAATTAACAGAGGAAGACTTGCAGAATTGCCACAATCAACACTAACCAATCAACACACACCATCTCTACTTCCCCTATTGTAATCACAAAGGTTTCTTATTTTAATACTCAAAATCTGATAGTATCAGTATTAAAGCTATCTGTAGAGATAAATAAATCTGTAAGCTGGTATCATTAATAACACAACTGGAGTAACTTTTAAGAAGGTGCACAAATTTCTAGTTTTATCATTAACAAAACAATATTTAGGGTATTTGGTATTAAAAATGCAAACGTGTAAAACATGAAAAACTCACTGGGCATCAACTTTAAATTACAAAAAAACTACTATCAACAAATTTTTCATTTTTACATTTCTTAATTAATGGCATCCCTTTTTTGAAATATGCATTGCTTTATTAAAAAGGTAAGTGTTAAAGCATTAGTAAAGTTCTGAGTAATCATTACTTTTTCTTCATAAATTATACTTTTAGAATGTAGTGATTTCTTCTATTCTGATCTGGAAAACAAAAGCTAACTTTTAATTCAGACAAATGTAACCTATGATTGATATACCTGTTTCACTTCCTCACTAGCCTACCTTAAACTCAGCTGAGTTTTAATTGCTTTGGAAAATGATCAAGACCCTCTGTATTACATGGTCAATGGTCCTCTTAATAGAAAAGGCAATAATATACAGTTGTCTGTGCCAAGGAGAACTCTTTAGAAACTATCAGTTCAAGGTAAGAGCTCAACCACCATTAACAAGAACAATATCTAGTTATCTTTTAGTGAAAATGCAGTCCTTTCAAAGCTGCTTAAAAATGATTTGATTTAGCACATATAAAAATACTTATAAACAAAGTTTATAAAGAATATAATTTTGAAAGCCAAAGCTTTTCGATAATCTCCATTTTTTTCACTAGCATAACATTAGAATTGACTTTTTGTCTTGCTGACAGAGCAACTAAGAAAGTACAGTTGCATTGACCATATTGATTGTGAACAAAGCAACCATCAGTGGGACTCTGCACCATATATTTTCAATATTGACCTCCTACTTCCTTTACCATGGCTTTCTGGGTCGGCTATTGGATTTGGACTGCAGTGTAATAAACAGCTAAGGTTTAATTAATGGTAAATGAATACAAGACATAGGTTATGACTTTAACTAATTAGGGAATTGTTGAATTAAGTCTGCCTTGGAATGCAAGGCAGTACAATCAATATCCAATAAAAGGACTATGTATGTAATTTACCTGCAAATGTGTTTCCAATACCATCAAAGTGAGTTTAAATAAGTAAGATATATGAAAGGTGACTGGGAGAGATTTCCACAAGTTAACACTTTATAGTTGCAGAAAAGATAGCCTTATTGTTGAGAGATCGTATCTTCTAGACCTCTGATAAGGGCACAATGAGATCAGGAATAACTGTTCAGACGCACAGCCTTACCAAATTTGTGACGTTCACTATGGCCTAACAATTCAGCACCAATGCCCAAGAGTCAACCTACATAAACTAGTTATGTTCAGGGCAAAATGAACATCACGCTTGACACCTTTGGCTGCTGCTGCACTTGTTACAGTATCTCCTTCCAATGTTGCAAAATATACTCATTGGCCTAACAGAATTCACTGTTTCATTCAAGTCTCATCAGTGCTATATCACTCTTCAAACGGATTACTGAGAGGTCATTTCACACATTCTTATCGACTCTTGACTGTAATCATTCTTTTAAAATAAGAAAAAGAAACTCACCTACTCCCTTATGAGCATCCAAGCTGGTAAACTCTATAGTCCCATTATGGCCTTTTCGAGGGTTTTCCTGGTACTGTTTGTGGTTCCCATTGGGACAGTATCTGTAAGAAAGTCCATAGTCTGCAAGATAAACCTAGAAGAATGAACAGAGAAGTGAGTAACTGAAGTGAGCAATGCTTTTGTCCTCTGGAAACAGAATCTTTACAATGAAGTCTTCAGAGGCTGATAGGTTTAAGAACAGCCTCAGATCCCGTTTTATTAAATCCACATTTCATTAAACCAAATGGTGCTTTCAGATAAAATACACACAACCGGGGGTCATAACTTTCCAACTTACACCTTCAACATCGGCATGTCTTACTTCTAAGCTGTCTAACATTTTCAGCCTTTTTATTTTGCATTTAAATCCCCTCGCTCCAGGTGGCCATCTAGATGGCATAAAAGACAATATGTCTTTTTGTCAGTAATCAAGAGCTTGTAAGGCTCCACTTCTTGCATCTCCTCTCTGGAACATTAAACTTTCAAGTAGGGAGGGGAGATGAGAGCGTGCATCCTAAAAACATGACCTTGATGTTGTATGAGTCTCCAGTAACAGGAATAAAAGATGATTCAAAAAAAAAAAAAAAGAAAAAGGGAAAAAGCCACCCTCCCCCCCCAAAAAAAAATCATAAAAACACCAATGAGTGGAGTATCAGTGCAGGACTTGTGGCCTGCCATATCATCACTGTGATCTAAGAACTACAAACTGGGTCTCCAAACAGCAGTGTAGGTTGTTAAAAGTCACACAGCAACTCAGGAGACTTTTTCTTAGCTTCTGTTGAGAGAGAGCAGCGGAGGGGAGGAGTTCTGAAGATGCAGCATGTGTTGACTGGTGAGCTGTGTTGACCACACACGTCCTGAGATGTGCAGCCAGAAAACAGCACCCTAGTTCCAACCAGATGCCGTCATGCTTCCCAAGCCACAAACGAAGGTGGAGATACGTGGTCATTTTAAATCGCTTTGAAATATTCACGTTTCAAAGTGATTTAAAACACACCTGCTTATGGCCTTGGGGAGCATGCCCTGCACACTCTAAGACAGACATCGCTAAAGCAGCAACACTACGAGTTATCTAGCCAACCAGCCGGGCTCCTGATAATCTTACAGAGCTACTGCTGTCACTCACATAACCCTGAAAGACAAGCAAGCCATCAAGTCAGGATTCCTTTAGCAAACCTGACTACCCTTCTCCACCTCTACTGTGCATTTTTTTCACTTCAGATTTTATGCAGCAATTTAGCAAATGGCTCAAATATTTATATTCTGAAAACAGAAAACAACGCTCTAAACTTTTACCACTAGCACTATCAATATATTTTGGAAAGAGGTAATTATGGGACACTATGGAAAAGATGTAAGAGTGACTGCCTTTGTTGGAGAGACAGACACTCGACATAGGAGGTAGCAAAGTCAATAATCTGAACCAAGTATTCAAAATGTTGACAAATTAACTGACTCAAATTAGACGCAGCTCAGAGTTCAACTAAGGTAATTTAGTAGACAGTCTTGTGTGTTACCAGAATAACTCAAAGAGGGAAAGGAGAGGCTGGGAAATGTTGTCAAACAAGAAAACGAAGGAAGGAGAAATGAACATGAATTGAGGTTCTATTATCTGACAACCACTCAGGGAAGTGCCTTTCACAAATTAATTTGTTAAATCCAGACAACCACATGCAGTCACCCAGCACTGCTCTCATTTTACATGCTGAGGACACCGAGTATCTCAGCGCTCAGAAAACTTGTCCAAGTCACAGCGCTAGAGAAGAAAGGGTTCAACTAGGTCAGTCTCACTGGAAAACCCCATTCTGTTTTATATGCAGCATAGAATTAGGAATTCTGATGACTTTGGAAATCATGTTGAAGAAAAAAAGAAAAAAACAAGCTTAAGCAGAACTTGATCCATAGTAGGGGTAGGGAGCCTTGGTCCTACTTTCTGTACTGTAAAGCTGAGAACAACTTTTACATTGTTATAGGATTCTGAAAGAGGAGGTAGTGGAGAGAGCAACATAGACCCTTATGTGTCCAGAGCTTAAAAAATCCTAAAATGTTACTTGCCAGTCTTATCAGAAAGAACTTGCTAAAAAAAACTAATATAACTAATTGTTTTCAACTTAGATGCAAATACATGTAATATCCACAGTTACCTACAAGCTTGCCTTAGTAAACAAAATTTACACCAGGTGTTGATACAGAGTAATTATTCGAACTGTAATAAGACTAGCCATAGGAATATTTAAATAGCTGTTTTCCTGACCATTTATTATTATTATTATTACTTGAAAAGCAGATCACCAGAGATACAGATACAGACATACCACCCTTCCCATCAACTCATTCACTTGCCAAATGCCTCCTGTAGCAGGCCCAGGCCAGACCAAAGCCAAGAGCCAGCCAGAAACTCATTCCAGCTCTCCCATGAGGCTGACAAGGACCCACTCAAGTGCCTGAGCCATCATGTGCTGCCTCCCACCGTGTAAGTAGGCAGGAAGGCACATTGCAAGTGGAGGCAGAATGCAATCTCAGGCCTTCTGATATGGGATGTGGCATTTCCAAGCAGCGGCTCAACTTGCTGTGCCAAGTGTCTGTCCCAACCACGCCACATAAGCATTTCAATTATTTCATTGTGTGCATCATTCCTGAGTGTAGTAACCATTTCTCTTTTTCAGGAGTATGAGGACAGTGTTGCCTATTTCCCTTTACTTTGATTTCAGAAATATTTCAAACATTTGACGTAATACTCATTTCCCCCTTTTCTTACATATCTACTGTATGAGGTACAGAAGGCGTGTCATCATCTACATTTAAGATGAAAAATAATACTCCCAAATAATGCAGCTCACCCAGGATTCACTAAATATGGCATCTACAAGAATTCTTCCCAGCTATCTTCTCAGCTACACCCACGCCAGTCCCCAACTACACCTACTTCGAACCCATGCCTTTGTGGGCTTTTGATTTCAGTATCTCATGACTGGGACACTGAGATACAATCCCGCCAAGGAAAAACACACTTTTTGCCTATTGGAAATGCAATTAGCTCCCAACCCTTCCTCTCCTCTCCAACCAAAGGACCTGTGAAACTCACAAGGCCACACACTTTCTGGGCAGCTTGCCAATGACTGCTGATGCAGAGGCCAGTGTGTGGCCACATCTACCCACTGAAGTTTGTTCCAGTGGACAGTTTTAGTCCTCAAGCTCCCCAGTGGGTTTCTCAATCAGACTTGCAGCACAATCTAAGGCAATTCTGTATTATGTCCTTTTACAGGCATCAGATTAACATCCCACTTTGAAAGCCCCTCCAACCCCCACTCGTCCATGCATCCTCCCCTTTTGTCTATCACTGGTATATTTCCTCCCCCACCTCCAATAGAGTCCTTGTGCTCCCAATATTGTCTCAGGAAAATACAGTTTTCCTGAGAACCCAATCTGTCACAGGTGGTCAATAACTCCTAGCCTTGATTAATGAACGAGATAAATATGAAGAACAAATTAGCCTTTGACCATGACTATGAAAACACTGCTCTTAAGAAGGCCTATCTTGGAACTCCACTTTAATGCAGACACATCAATACTCATACATGCCATATTCTCAAGTTCTATCTTTAGTAAAGTCCTACTTTGAATCTCCTTGGCCACCGACCTGAGAGATGCATAAGAGGCTCTCAGTTCCTGGCTTCAGCTTAGTCCAGCCCAGCCATTGTGGTCATTTGGGTAACGAACAAGTTGTTGGAGGTTCTCTAACTCTTTCAAATAAACTGATAATTAAAAAAAAAAACAACTTTACAATATATTGTTAAGCATTATCAGAACTTGGCATATATAAATAGGAGATAAAAATATTTTCAGATATAGTTTGATGTTACTGCTATACTATAAAATGGTCTACAAAAACCACTGGCAAGCACTGGAAATACTCTCCCTATCTACACTAACTAAAAGTTCTATTAATTTTAAACACAGTATGTAAGGTTACCAGCAATAGTGCTAAATTCTTACATGTACACCTCCTTGGGATTCCATGGTTTTTGATAGTCCCTAGATAAAGAAATTTCTTTATCCATTTAATTTAAAAACAGTGCACTGTGTAATTCCACATACAGAAATACCGCCTTAGAGTCTACACATAACCTTGTGTGACTCAAGATGCCCCCAAATTTTGGACAGTAACAGCCCATTGGTCATATATGTACCCAGCTCCTAGAAATAGAAGTGTAACCAGTATGATAACCTAGTGACTAAACCCTTGCTTAAATGTGCAGGGATCTCAAATGGGTGTTAGTTCATGTCCTGAGTGTTCCACTCTCCATCGAGCTCCCTGTTTGCAGCCTGGCAAAGCAGCAGAGGATGGCCAAAGTCTTGGGACCCTGCACCTGTGTGGGAGACCCAGAATAAGCTCCTGTCTCTTGGCTTCAGTTAGGTTCAACTCTAGCTGTTGTGGACACTTGGGGAATGAACCAGCAGACAGAAGATCTTTGTCTCTCCTCTCTGTAAATCTGACTGTCCAATAAAAACAAATGAATCTTAAAAAAAAAAAACAGCAGAAAAAGTGTGACCAATGAGACTCAGTCACTCAAACATTTATTGAGCCCGGCGCAGTGGCGCAGTGGTACAGTGGTTAAGGTCCTCGCCTTGAATGCCCGGGATCCCATATGGGCGCCGGTTCTATCCCGGCAGCTCCGTTTCCCATCCAGCTCCCTGCCTGCAGCCTGGGAGGGCAGTCGAGGACGGCCCAAAGCTTTGGGACCCTGCACCCGTGTGGGAGACCCAGAAGAGGTTCCTGGCTTCGGATCGGCATAGTATCGGCCCATTGTGCTCACTTGGGGAGTGAATCATCGGACGGAAGATCTTCCTGTCTTTCCTCTCTGTATATCCGCTTTTCCAATAAAAATAAAATAAATCTTTAAAAAACTAAACATTTATTAATGCTAAACATTCAAATAATAATGTTTCAAAAGCACTAACTGCCTTGTGAAGCATATAGCTGGGACAGGTGATTTGTTAAATTGCCCTATATTTACAGAGTATATACATTACTAAAACGTGCAAATCCTTCCACTCAGGACAGAAATTAAACCTTTAATATTCCACAAATTC